TATTATTTCACAATATTAAAGTTTATAGAAACACATCAGTCTGTGAAAAGGGTCCATGATAGCTATGTGTTTGTGTGTGTGTGTGTGTGTGTGTGTGTGTGAGAGAGAGTATTTGGGTTAGTGTGTGCATGCTGTCTCAGTCTGTGACCATGGATGTGTGATCTAACAGTAGCTGACAGGCAGGTTGGAGGGCACTCTCTAGGGTCCTCAGTCTGGGAGCACTCTAGACAGCATACAGCAGAACTGTTCCCTGTCCCACTGAGCTAACAATTAGCACACGCACCATAATGCAGGGCCAGAGTGGGCAAGTGTTTTATACAACCTATATTTTCTACATCCATTTAAATGTGCATGATGTCTTTGTCCTTGATGCATTTTGATTAGTGTTTAATAGAATTTTGTCAAATATATGGTGTATTTTAAACTGTGCCTTTACCAATGTGTACACACACCTAAATGGCTCAACGAGAGGCACACTGGTGAACTAGTGACTCGATCTGTTAGCCCTTTTACATTTAACATGAGGCCAGTCTGCTTTCTTCTTGACTTATTCATCTAGTTAGGAGCTCACTAGCAATAACGTGAGTGGACAGCTATGCGTCTGGTGAAGACCTCTCCATCTCACCTCAGTCTCGGAGGAATCCACCCCAGAATTCACAGCTTCCAACCCACACGCTTCACAACATGATCCGCAAGCCTTTGCAAGTTTAATGCTTGTGAAGAACTGCCCATTTAAATAGCATATTACTGAGCACATTAAAGCGCAACACTGGATGGTGTCTGTGAAGATTGAGGGGGGCAGAGGGAAGGTACGCAGGAGGTAGAGTGTGTGTTTTTGAAGCCAAGGTGAAAGGGTGGTTGAGATAGATCGATGCCATGATTGCTGGTGTGTGAGATGGATATTCACCAGTGACCCTCTGTCCCCAGACGTCTCATGCATGGAAGTTGTCCATCCCCTGAGACTCTCAGACTGTCTGTATTGTGAGTAGGACATGCTTTGCCCAGTCACTCTCTCTCTCTCTGTGTGTGTGTGTGTGTGTACAGGTATATATGGTTTATGAGGACACAGATGTGTATAATGACATGGATACTACAACGTAAACATGGTTTATGAGGACACTTCCTGTGTCCCCGTAAAACAAAAGGCTTAAAAACTATGAGGACACAAATTTGTATAATGACATGGGTATGACATGGGTACTACAACGTAAACATGGTTTATGAGGACACTTCCTGTGTCCCCGTAAAACAAAAGGCTTAAAAACATACAAAACGGTGTTTTATGAAATAAAAAAATTGCCAGCAGTTTCCTGTGAGGGGTAGGTTTAGGTGTAGGGTTGGTGTAGGGCAATAGAAAATACAGTTTGTACAGTATAAAAACCATTACGCCTATGGAGAGTCCCCGTAAACCACAAATAAAAATATGTGTGTGTGTGTGTGTGTGTGCTTACGTGTTGTTTTAGTCAAAGCAGGTGAAAGACACTTCAGCAAACTCATTTGTGCTTGGCAGCAATGCAGCAAAGCTGAATAAAGTTCAAAGTAACCTGACCTTTTAAGCATTCATAATATATACATTCTGAGTGTCATATAATTTAATAACAGTGAAATATAATTTGGATTGTTAAAAATGAAAATTCTTATAAGCTTACAAAAACAAACTTATATATTCATTTTGTGTTTAAAGTCTATGAGAAAAATACTAATAT